GGAGCCGGCCCTGATTCTAAGTAGAGCTGGGCAAATGTTCTGCAACAATGTGAAGCCATGCAAAACTCAAATGGGTTCAGGTGCAAACATGGAGTTGCATCTAAATGCGTTTTAGGTCCCGTGAACTTTCTGTGGACCTTTTTGTAATCCCTGAAACAACACATTGTATGTCCCTGAAACGCTTTCCAAAGCTGAGTTTTTCATAACAAAAGTTGTGATCCAACTAGATATATAGTGGGGACAGTCACACACACCTATATTCAAATACCCTAACAAACAAACTCACACATGCTTTCCCCACTTTGGGTCCCCTTTGCAGTTAAAGGGGCTGATTTTCCATCTCATACCACTCACTGTACTAAATAGCTGGAGTATTGAAGTCAAAGGAGCTACATGGATAAGTTTGGGAGAACAGACTCAAGCCCACAGGTTCCAGACATTATCCCATCTGCAATCCTTTGCTTCTAATTAGCCATGCAACTAAATAGCTCCCCATGCTCCTCAATGTAGCCCTCTGTCAAAGGACACAAGAGTGAGTGCAAATCTCAATCCATGTCCTTGCCACTGCGTTACCAGCTCATGAGCTCCCATGGGAAATATGTCTGCTTGACAAACTCCTGCCAGGAAGCCTGTGTCTTGTCACACCTAGATTACCTGTAACCTTTACAACCTCTCTCCCTATGCATTAGCATAACTGGCATTGCCTAGGAAACCAAAGAAACAAATAGAGAGAGAGAAAGGAAGAGCTAAGGGAGCAGAGATTGCTCATGAGTCTCGGTCATGTACAAAGCCAAAAAACTTTCACGCCTCTAATTAATTCAGCAGCCAAGACTGCTTGATTGATGGTGTCACTCAACTAGTCACATGAGGCAGTGCTGAGCCAGTCAGCACAACACCTGAGCCTTAGGGGATACAGAATCATGCCAAATGGGCCAGATAGCAAAAGAGCCCAGCATGCTGGGTACTGAGCTCTTTCAAAAAAACATAGCGTAGGAGTCACTATGGGAGCTGCTTAAAAATTGACCCCATTTAGGTGCTTAGACGGGAGTTGCACTCATTTGAAAACCTGTCTCTGACTGTGGGTGCTAAGTGTTTGAAAATCTGGCCCAATGTGACCTGTGCTTTGGTGACATGATTCATCACATGAAAAAAATAAGCATATAGGTTAGAGGCAGGCTTGGCAGAATTCCATATGTATTTTTTTGTATAGTTTTGACACATAATATCATTTATTTGTAAGCTTTTTGTATTGTTGATCAATTTAAATTTTCAGAGTTGCAGGAAATTATGGGGGGGGGGTCAGGCAAAAAGGGGAAAGTCACACAATAATAATTTAACGACAGTAGACGCTGTCGAGATTCAAAAAGTTAAAGCTTTATAAATGTCAAGATCACGTCAAAATATACAAAGTAAATGTCCTGAAATCAAACAATAAAAAGTTCTCAAGCAGCATTTTTCTTACTTTGCCTATCTGTAAATTTTAGCCAGTTTGTGTGTGTACAGTGAAAACGACATTCACTGACATTTACTGATCAAAATCTAATCCTTCCAACCTTAGGCCTCAGAAGTAGTTTAAACTAGGGGTTGGTGACACGTGGGGTTTTAGATTTTGTGAACCTCTCAAACACTTTTTTTAGGTTTGCAAAACTAATCTGAGTTGGCAACCTTTTCTCCTGTAATTTAAACCCACAATTTTCTCCCCACGCATCCCGACACATGGGTGATTCAAGTTCTTAAAAACAAACAAAAAAACCTCCCTTTCTTTTTTAGCATGTGTGATGCATTTGGCACAGAATAAACCCGAAAAGCTAGGCTGACATGATATGTGAATCTCAAATCACTTTGTAAATATTAATACACTAAGCCTCAGAACTCTTTACATGAGGTAGGTCAGTAGTTACAAAAAGGGAAACTGAGGCACAGAGCGGTGTGGCGATTTGTCCAAGATTACCATACAACAGGTTAGAAACAGAGCCTGAAACAGAATTCAAGTCTCCTGGCTTCCACGCCAATGTGATGTCCATTGGAAAACACTTCACAGAGCCACACTGCCTCAAAGGGTAGTCTCAGATCTCCTTTGTGTGGGTTCCAGACAAACGGCAGTCAAACAAGCCTAATTCAGTATAACTAGAGCTGATGGGGAAACTTAGACACTTCTCCCCTTCAACATTTTTCAAATCAAAATATTTTGGGTTTCTGTGGGAATTTTCTAAAGAAACGAAATAAAAATCTTCACTTAGTTTCATTTTGAAATGATGTTTTGAAATGAAAATTTTCATTTCATTTCCCAATGGCAAAAGAAAATGGAAATTTTTGTTTCATTCAAATGTCATTTTGCTTCATTTTTTGGATGCTGAAATTTTTCAATTTTCTATTTTGGTTTCTGGATTTTCAGGACTTTTCCTCTCTCTTTCTCTGTTTCCCCTCTCTCCCCCCTCCCCTTTTTTTATTACCTTTTCTACATTTTTTCCACTGGGAAAATTGGGGGGTGGAGTAAAAAGTATGTGAAATGGGAATGAAAACAAATTTCACACTTTTTTCCAACTGAAAACAAATTGGAAAATAGTGAGAAAGTGCATGAAAATTTTGGAAAACAGTTAAAAATGTGAAAAGTGGGTTTTTCCTCACTTTCACGTGCTTTTTTTTATCTTTGCCCCCTTTTTTAAAAAAAAGAGAGAAATGGGTAAAACTCCCCCAATCCAAAAACTGAAAATGAACAGCTGAAATGTTTTATTTCCCAAAACTGAAGTGAAACTACATTTTAAGTGAAAACGAAAATGTCATTTAGACATACATTGATTCAAAATGAAACAAAAAATTCATTCAGCTTAAAATGTCACCATTTTAGGTGTCACCAAATGAAATTAATAGGCAGCAGGTTTAAAACAAACAAAAGGAAGGGTTTCTTCACATAACACACAGTCAACCTGTGGAGCTCTTTGCCAGAGGATGTTGTGAAGGCCAAAACTACAACAGGGTTAAAAAAATAACCAGATAAATTAATGGAGGATAGGTCCATCAATGGCTATTAGCCAGGATGGGCAGGGATGGTGTCCCTAGCCTCTGTTTGCCAGAAGCAGGGAATGGGCAACAGGTGATGGATCACTTGATGATTCTGTTCACTCCCTCTGGAGCACCTGGCATTGGCCACTGTCGGAAGACAGGATATTGGGCTAGATGAACCTTTGGTCTGACCCAGTATGGCCGTTCTTATGTCATTTTTGTTTTAGTTTTTGGAAAACAAAATACCCTGATTTCAAAATGAATATTTGGGGGTTACGTTTTCCAGTCAGAAATCAGAACATTTAATTAAAATTTCCCCATGGAAAATTTCAGTTTCACCAAAACCATATTTTCCAAAGGGAAAATTGTAAGGTATAAAAATCTCAACCAGCTCTAACTATAAACATCAACAGTCTTGGTTGAGAGACACTCAGGGAGAGATTGTGACCTTCCCTACTGGCGGCTGCAGTGAGGCTGTTGCACAACAAACCCAGCTCCTCATTGCACCTCTTCGTTTATGGGCTAGTCACAGTCACAGTCCTCTATGTTCCCCGAGGGCAAAGACTGCTCCAGTCTAGTGCTCATAGTGGAACTAGCTTCTCTAGAGGGGCTGGGTGATGGGCGGGTTTCTGCCTACACACCCACACTCATACCTGCACTAGCCAGTGGAACTGAGCCAGCATGGGAGAGGGAAAACATGCTGCACCCATTCAAAGGGTGTAGCAGGGGAAAAAGCTTTGCTCTCTATTCCTTGCATGTATCTCTCTGCAGAGATGCATGCTGCTATGCACATGTATCGAGCCCTCTCTTTATACAATACTCGCGGTATGTGGTTTCCATTCATTCGTTCTGTTCAGGTCACCTTTGAGCCTGGGGAAAGTTAGCCTTGAAATCAAATCTGGTCTTCTGCCCAAGTCCTCCACCAATGGCAGAGTCATCTTTCTCGGACCCGAAGACATCACAATTCAACTGGAGAGCACTCAGCACCGCAACGGCTGAGCAGCCCTTCTGCTACCTCAGCTTTTTCCATTTTTAAAAAACATTTTGGTCCTGTGTCTTTTAAAGTAGTAGTGATAGGCAATGCCATGGCAGAAAGCCCTTGCTATGCACGGCCAACGTGCCCTCCAACCAGCCCTTGCCGTGCATGACTGTGCCCTGATGCATTTGAAATGAATAGAAGTAAACTAGGGAGGAGCCAGATATAGTTTCCAGGGTGCCTGCTGTCCCCTCGCCTTGGAAAAGCGACTGTAGTTCAGGGACACTATTTAGTATTTAAAGACAATGTTAAAGGTACCTGATGAAGCAGTGAGTAAATGGAGATCGTGTTTCTTTAAGGGAGTCACCCGTGCATTTTGCACTAGGGTCAAGAGCAGGTTGGACAAACACCTGTCAGGAATGGTCTAGATAATACTTAGTCCTGCCATGAGTGCAGGAGACTGGATTAGATGACCTCTCGGGGTCCCTTCCAGTTCTCTGATTCTGTGGTTTCACTCATAGTGCTCAAGGCTGCACTGGGCCCTATATTCTCCTCTGTGAGCTCAGAGTTTTATCAACCTTACCTCTGGTTTCTGAGTGTCACGTATGTGAATCCCCTGTAGATGGCTAGGTCTCGTAGGGTACGCCTACACAGCAAGCAGGGGCCCGCAGTCGCATGTCTCAGAGCCCAGGTTTACAGACTCAGGCTTACGCTACAGCACGAAAAATAGCTGCGTAGACATCCGGGCTCCGGTTCTGAAGCCTACTCCCATTCCTAGAGCTCAGGCTCCAGTCTGAACACCAACACAGATATTTGTAGTGCTGTAGCATGAGCCTGGGTCTGCAACTCACCGGGGCAGGATTCTACCCTAAAGGTCGTGGCCCCGGAGCCACTTTCCCAGCCTCACCTCCAGTCACACCCCCATCCCGTTCCTCTGACCTGTCTGGCGTGGACAGATACTTCTGCTTTTGGAATTTCTTCTCCAGCCCCATCAGCTGGAGTTCCGTGAAGATGGTCCGGCTTCGGCGAGGCTTTTTCAACCGCAGGGTGGGCTGCTCCCCTTCCGACTCGCTGCTGGCATGGGTTTCGCTGGCTTGTGTCTCCGCGCTGGTGGCTCCCAAGGAGGAGTGGGGTGACAACGCTCGGGAGCTGGGAGCTGCAGGGCCGAGGTGAGGGACCACAGAGGGCTGCCGGGTGATGACGGAGATGAGAGGATATGCCCTCAGAGATGGGGACCCTAGGAGGGAGGAAGCACAGAAGAGAAGTACAGTTCAGTGGCAGTATTGTCCAGTGGATAGTGCCCTGGACTGGGAGTCAGGAGACCTGGTTTTCATTCCTGGCTCTGCTACTAACCTTCTGTGTGACCTTTTTTAGCAAGTCACTTCCCCTCTTTGGGCTTCTATTTCCTTCCCCCCCCCCCCACCTTGCCCCTTCCACCCCCGCTTTGTCTGTCTTATCTATTCACATAGTAAGATCCTTGAGGCAAAGAGTGTCTTCTACTGTTTGTTTGCCTAGTTGCCTTCTCTAGGTGCTACTGTAATACAACTAATAACTAATCAATTCAGTCATAAGTAGAGCTGTGTAGTTCCAGATGAGGAGTTTATTAGCCCCCAAAAATGCAGTTTGGGGATGACCCAAAACTATTTGCAAATTCAGATCAAACTGGGCAAATAGTTTTGGCCAAAACAATGAGGGTTTTTTTTTACGTCTGAAATGTTTCATTTAGACACTTTCAAAAATGAAACATTTTGATTTTTCATTTCAAAACAAGATTTCATTTCTAAATGTAATTAGATCTATTTAAATAAAAAGGTTTTAAAAAAATCCAAAAACTAAACTTAACAAAAACAAACAAAATATGGTTTGGGGTCAACCCAAAATGATGATTTTTTTGGATTGTTAGGTTCAGCCACCAAACCAAAAAAACAATTGTTTGCTCAGTTCTAGTCCTGAGTGATATATGCAGTAGAGATGGTTCACTTTACCATCTAGTTTCACTCAGAGATGAAATCAAACCAAACTTTATGCCCATCAGTCATTTAGCCAGTGGAACTCTCCTTCTCTGTTGACGCTGAATGAATCCCTAGAAATGGGCCCAGATTGGATCATCAGAGCTGTACTAACCCTCAGAACTAGGCAGAAGTTCAGCTCTGGCTCAAGCACCAATCTTTGTGGCTAGGGGGCCATTGGAACATCAAATCCAAACATGCCCAAACTCTAGTGGAAGTTCTGATTCCGATCCAGGCTTCCCAACCCAGGCATGAGTCTACTTCAGCAGCATCCCAGTTCCTAAACTCTATAAATCAGGCATCCTCTGACACTTTTGTATAGTGAAACTGAACCAATTTGTGGGGATGTATGTTTCATTGTGGTGCGATAGGAACAAGAAATGTAGGGTCAGGACTCCTGGATTTTATTCACTGCTTTACAGCTGACTTGCTGTGTGATCTTGGGCAAGTCACATCACTTTTCTGTGCCTGTTTCCCCATCTGTAACACTGGAATAATAATCCTTATCTGAGTTAAGATTTACCTAGGGAGTTAAGGTTTAATGCATTAATGTTTGTAAAGTGCTTTGAAAGCTTTAGACAAATGGTACTCTAGAAAGGCCAGGTCTGAGTACCATCATTGGGCCAGATTGTGAACCTCTTACACCTACTGATGAGCACCTGTTTACACACGCAGTTCTGTGGACCTCATTGGGACTACTTCTATGAGCAACTTTTCACCATTGAGAGTAAGGGGTTGACCATCTGGCTCAGAGAATGAGCAATCACATTACAAATGCTGTTAAAAGCCTGTGAGTTTCTCTCTTTCTGGATAAATTATCCTTTCAGAATCTCATTGTTCATGCAACCAGGATTAGATTCTATTATTGTCCTCGGAGCTAGAGGACAGGGGTGTCAGACGTAATCAGTCACGCTCCCCATGGTGAGTAGTGCAGAGCAAGCCAAAGAATAAGCCAGCACTTAGCAGCTCGATAATCAAAAATTACATAATCATGGTGAAGTCTTTAAAAAGGGCAGTTCTAAGAATGATGGCTGAATTTAGTCAGATCTGACTAAATGATTGCAGTGCTATCCAAACCTCTCCAGTAGCTGCAGCAATCTACAAAACCCAGCTAATTGCTGTGATCTCTACCACTATTTTTCCCTCCACATCAAAACTTTAATCAATTTGAAACAAAAACAAGACCTGAAATCCAAGAAAAGACACGGCAAGAATTTACAAACGACCATTAACTGGTGTAATAGGAGGGAAAAAACAGTGATGTTTTGTTTCTATGGATCCTTTGGCACCTCGTGACAATGGTGATTTACAAATCTACCAGCTTGCTGGGCCAAATTCTGCCCTGATTTGCCCACCAATGGCTGTACAAAGAGGGTAAGTTTAGGTAGAACTCAACCCTTCACTTTACAGTGCCTGGTGTCTTAAATTCTGCCTTCACTGATACTTCCACAGCCTCCTTGACACCAGCTGGGTTGCATGGGAATAACTGAGGGCAGAACCTCTCCCACTGCATGGGAACCATCTTGCCAGTTGGCCACTGCCATTTCTTTCTCTGCCACTGTGGATTATGAATGGCGATGTTCTTGCCCCCAGCCTGCAGCCTCCTTTGTGCCAGCTACACCAGGGCAAACAAGGTGCAAGGCCCTCCACTAGGAGAATACCCACAATGCAGGAGGCCCTCTGCAGGAACCATGGGGCCAACTCTACCCATGCACTGCCTGGCAGGAATCCCTGGCACAGGTGATGATATTGGGTGGGACCAAAGATGTTGGCGGAGTGGCTGGGTGGCAGTCCTATGCTTTGTCCTGCTGCTATGATCCGTGGGGGCCATAGTAGTTGGGCTATAATTGGGCAGCCCTCAAGGGCCCCTAACAGCCCCCAGCAGGCCCAGGATAGGGAGAGGGCAAGCACCATCCCTTGTGCCAACACAGGAATGGATATGGCCCACTCTATCTCCTACTCCAATATCAGGAGGTCTTGGTTAACAGCTTCCCAACCCTGGTATAGAGCCAAAGATCTCCCTGCGCTGCTGCAGGGCTCACACTCCAAACCTTTTCTCAGAGCCCGAAATGCCATTCCTATTCTTGCACATAGGTGGCTTTTGGCCACAACCAGACATCTAATTGATACTTTCTCCCTTACACCCCTGCGTGTTTCCAGTGTAGCAGGGAAGCAAGATTGTTAAAGAGCAATAAATCACCCAAGCTCAGAAACTTCTGAAAGGCTCCAGCTGATTGAAACCTTGAGAGGGAAGCATTTTTACAAGGGGCTGGCCTGTAGGAAGCTTAGCAAAGGGTATTTTATAGCAGAGCAATCAGTCATATTTGCTTTCCAATTTGGGTTAAGGGTGGTACATAGGGCTGCACAGTGGGAGGGCTAGAACAGCTCCCAGAACTAGGAAAAACTCAGACGTCAGGGATTGTTCTTTAGACTGCCGAAAGCTACTTAGGTAAGAGGAATATGTAAAGGGGAAAAGGGAATCTCCTTCCTTGTACCATGATCACTGGCCTATACGTGTAAGACACAATGGTTGGTTATTGTATGACAGCTGATGAATGCTGGGAAGCACAAGGGACCAGATTTCACAAGAGCGTGGTTCCAGATTTTCAAGTACTCAGTCCCCTCAAGTGGGACCATATTTCAAAGCGCTTAACTCCCATTTAAGCCCCTAAAATAAGGGACATATTTTCCAAAGTGCTCAGCACCCAGCAGATCCTGTTGTGACACCTCTCGCCAGATTTTCAAAAGAGCTCAGCGCCTATTTATTTTGGTCTCTATATGGGAGCACTTACTTACTTACTTTGGAAAATCTGGTCTGTTATCCAGGAGTGCTGGGTCACAAATAAGGATTTGCAATTGTCAGACTGCTCACGAGTGCTAGGCAGTAAACAGCTTGTCAGAGCTGTTGGCTCTAACTATTTTCTATTCATTTATTATTTAGGACTATTAAAAAAAAATGTAGGTCAAATATTGGGCCAAACAATTGTAGCATCATCTCTTTAATTGACCATTATTAATAATAATAGTAAATAATCATTTTTATTTGTATTTCCATAGCATCTAGGGGTCCTATTCATACACCAGGAACCCATTATGCTAGGTGCTGTACAAACACAGCACAAAAAGATGGTCTCTGCCCCAATGAAAGCTTCATGTTTAAGCTTCTTTCTTTCCCTGTCCTGTCTTGGCATGGGGGATGGGCTAGATGACTTCTTGAGGTCCCTTCCAGCCCTACATTTCTATAATTCAGTGAAGATGCCTCATCTTCACTCCAGCACCTGACAAGGCTTCTCAGATTTCTCATCCCTAGTTCTGAAGGAATAAGGAGAATTTGCCATGCAGGATGGTTGAGAGATACAGCAAGGAGAGCACTCAGAAAGATACTTGGGATCTGAGACTACTGACACTGTCTGGGGGAAGGTTACAGTTACAAAAATAGGTCAAAGTCTATGAGCCTCGGTCTCCTCTTTCACTGGTTTACATCAGGAGTAGTGGCATTGTAGCCAGCAGAGTGACATGGTTGAGACTTTCAAAGGAGCCTAAGGGAGTCAGGCACCCAACTCCCAAAATCCCAGCCATACAGGTGTAAGTGAGGTGTTGAGGAGGCCCCATGGGTCTGTCTAACTAGGTAAATTTATAGAGCATTGATCACTGAAGAATCTAGGCTCTAGGTCATAAAGTAAAAAGCTAGGGTACAAACTGATCTGAATCGAGGTGCCTCAAAGGTTGGGGGTGTTTGGATGCAAAGCCCTTCCTGTTCTATCTAGATATACCATTGATAAGGTTTCAGTCACTATGGTATCTAGATGCCATTTGCACAATTCAAATCCAAACAGTTCTGGATTTCAAACACCCCTAAGTTTGGATCCAAATATAGATTCTGAACATCGCAGAGTTCAAAAGTGTTTGGATCCTTCTCTAGACAGACACAGTAATTGTGGAAATGAAGCAATTTCTTAATGTACAACAAATTAAATATTGGCAAATGTCTCCGTCTGCTCAGTGCTGTCATGACTTGCTCGGTCTCAAACGTAAAGGAGCTGAGACAGCTGTTTTTCCATTCGGTAGCTCTGTCTTACTGAACAGTTTCAGTTGGATACAGACTATAGATTTCTCCATATCACTGTACCCAACACCAGCAACGGTTGGACTGTCCGGTTGTATCTGTCTCTGAAGTGACCAGATGTTAAGGCTGATTTGTCCATGGGCTGTTATATAATAATAATAC